AATGCAGAAAAATCCAACGATTCTCAAGATCTAGAAAATGTTTTGAAAGCAGAAAGTCCTAGATTCAATCTCTGATCTTAGTGGGAGGCATGTATGAGAACAGTATTTTTTGCAATAGAAGTGAATATCTGTAGCTCAGGGTTGAACTGTGGAGTCCTTGGTGCTCCCTGAGCTTCGTTGTTTGCTTGCAGACATTTCATGACCCAACTAGGTAACATCATCAGTGCTAGTGAGTGTGGAGTTTGCTCCCTGTTTATATACAGTAGCTTGCCCTGCCAGTGTTGGGGGTGTGTGGTTTTCTCCTTGGTAGTTCCTTAATTAGGGTATTGTTTTATGCTTGATTGTTTCTCTGGTGTTAATCCCTGCTTATCTGGATGTTGGCTGCTGGAGAGAATGGGTTCTGGTCTTTTGTTTCCTTCTTAGCTTTTTTTATTGTCTCTTTTGAGTGGTGTGTAAATGGTGTATCAACAGTATTTTTTGCTGGAGACTTCAAAGTGGACCAATTGTACAGTTCAATGACCAGTTCATATTTAGTACAGATAAGCTGAGACCTGCCTACCTTTCCATGTGAAGAAGCAAACATGAAAATTTCAACTCCTCATGTCGAAGGGCTGAAAGTGTTCTTGTGGGACGGCTTGTCCTCCTCATAGTTAAGCTGGCTTGCCTTAGTCAAGGATAGCTTAAGTTTCCCTTTGCTGGGTTCAAATGCTACAACAATCCAATCATTTTCAATCCAGCAATGGGCCTCCTTTTTAATTCTCTTACCTCCCACACAAAGGCCAGGGACAACGAGCATCAATCTGGGGCTGATGCTTGTTATTCCTGATTCAGTCTCAGTCTGAGGAATCCCTCATACATTTTGCAGTAAACTCCACGACATCCAAAGGTACATTAAAAGGGGAGATGATCACCACTCAAAGGATGCAAACTGATCAGAAGCCTTAAAAAGAGGGGGGAGCAATCCAAATCATTCCCGCCACTTGCCCAACTCTGCTGTAACATCTGCACATCAAATTTATGAATCTGATTTGATGGTAATGAAGAACTTTCCTTCAAGGCCACTAATTTTATGACAGGACCTCCATCTTCTCACAATGAAGACACTGTATGAATGACTGTGCCACTGTCATTCCCCACATTATAAAGTTTTATTTAAATTGCTATTATACTGCTGCACTGTTGAACAATAAGGATGCTAAACCCAGTTCTTGGAAAACAACAAATATATTTCCAAACACTCCTTAAGGGCTGAATCTAGACTAAGTTCATTTAATTGAGTTCATATTGACATCAATGGAATGGACATTCCTCCAAAGAAAAATCTCAAATCTAAGCAACATCATTTGTGAATCAATTCTCAGAATTGCCATCTTTTCATGCAGCAAACAAGCCCACACTTGCCTTTCGCTGCTGACATCATATTCAAAAAAGAAAAGCACCTTTATACTGTAGTCAGTAGAATTGTGTACCATATCACAAACTGTATGGGACAAATTCAGTGCCAAAAATCTACAATAAAAGAATCTTAGGATTCTACATAGGCCCCAGTGGGAGTGAGGGATAATAGAAATAGATGAAGGCAAAAATATAAGACGCTTAAGATGCAATTCTGCCTGCAGAAAAATTGGAAAAAATAAGACATTTTGTCATTCAGAAAGTGACAGTTCCATATTAAAAATTCTAAAATCCCCCCTAAACTTATTTATGTTTTCTTTATTCCCCCTCAGTTTTAGTTAAAAATGTATGGCTAAGTTGTATCAGTGCATAGGTTGCTTTATTGAATAACATATAAAACAAAATTTAAAAGGCATACCTTGTGAGTCTTCCCTCAAAATTGGGTCAAAATTACTATTTTTTTTTTTAAAAATGCAAAAATACACAAGGGTTAGATCCAAACTAACAGTGCAATCCCAAGCAATTTTATTCAGAAATGTTCACTTAATCCAGTCAGATCTGTCATGTGGGAAGCACAGTTAACATTTTTAGCTTTTAAGGAAGTTTTAAGGAAGTTAGTTTCTGTTAAAATCAGTGGGACCTTATTTTTTACAGAATTCAACAGCAGCTACATAGTACTAATGTCTTCTGGATCCAACTCTTGATTTCCTGGATGATACAAAAGTGGTCTAGCTTTTCAAAGTGTTTTTATAACCAATAGTTTAAATGCCATTCTGAATGAATTGCCAATTCATAGCCCTGTAGCGTCTCAGTCCACAGGCCAGATCACCACAAAAATGTTTGAATTAAATATTGCAGCTGAACGATCCTAACATTACGAGCAGATTTTGAAACTGAGGAGTGGGTAAAGCTGCCCAGGAAATCTCATTCATATACAACTGGCCCCACAAGCTGTTAATTATATCCTCCATTAATCTAACCCAGTTGAATAAATACCACATTTTCCCTTTTAAAAAATCGTACACTCAATCGCTATCTCTTATTTTAAAAGCCCCAAAGTAAGTTCCTTCTGGGGAATGATCCAGCAAGGAAGGGTAGGAGACCTGGATGCTTACAATTTCGCCAGACTTCAATTTAAAAAACCCTCCGACATTTACCGAGAAAAAATGAAATTCAGAATCGCCTGACCAATTCTTGGTACTTCCACCTTTCATCAGAATGACGGAGTTTCGCCTTTTAACATCTGTTTTGATCACATACACCATCAGCTGCAGCGTTTGGCCAGTTAGGTTTCCCAACGTCTCATGGTGCCTGAAGCACACGTTGGCATATAGGTAGTAAAAGCCATCATGATTGGCTATTAGTTTGCCATCACTGAAGGTCATATTCAGAACGTTGGCCCAGCCTTTGTCATGATGCCAACACGTAAGGTTCACTTTTCCGGTGCCTAAGAAGAAAAGAGAAGAAATAAAGAAAATATTTGCTTCCTCTTTAGGGATGAATAGCAAACAGAAGCATGGGAATATCTTGGCAGCCCTAAGTTGGAGCAAGTTTTGGAAATGATATCGGCCATCTTTTGATCGTTCTCTTTACCAAAAACATAAGCAAGGGATGGAAGAAAGTTGAGTGCCAGCTCTTAGCTCAGCCAAAACTTAGTTTGGCTGTGGATCACTTTATACCATTTCCAATAACCTGCATGGCCCCAGATCAGACATCAGCTGGGCATTTGGGAACAGAGTTCCCCAACTCTGTACCTGCAGTCATCTTTGGAAATCGTCAGGGAAAATATCATTAAATTGGAGAGGGCAAGAGAGGGCATGCAGGCAAGCAAAAACGGCCTCAACCCTTGATCATCCCCCTTGGCAGCTATCAGGTTCCCTCCCCATTATCACCAACTTTCTACACTTAAAAAACAGGTTTAATTAAAAAAAAAATAAAATCAAAAGCTGGTATGTTGCAAAGCCAAGGGCCAACTTCCAGCTCCATTTTTTCCAAGAATGACTCTGAGCCCCAAAGGAAGGATGGCTGTGACCCAGAGCTTAATATAAAAGTGTGTCTACCTGTCCGGAAAAAGGACGAAGATAGGAAAAAGACTAAAAACTATGACAGGGAGCTTTCTAGTAAATTGAGGTTTCATAATTGGTTGTATCCCCAAAGCAGCCACTAACTGAAGGGGACTGCCCCATAGCAGTCAAAACCTGTTCTCGAGACCCTAAAGCTCAATTTCAGCCATCGTGCCACCTTCCCCCAAGAGAATGCACCTTTCCCCACTCTGTCTTCCAGATGCTGGGAAGCCAAGCTGGAACTCTGCTGCTCCCTTTCACAAGGTCAGAAAAGCCAGTCTGGGATCAGGATGCACAGCTCTTGCTGAGTTTTTGGGTGGGTTGGTGGGGGGGAGGTATTCAAGGACAAGGCTGAACTAAGCTGTCAAACTAGAAGCTTCCCAAATATAAAAGTTGCAATTGCTGACTTATTTATACCTTGGCTCAGATTCAGCACAGTAGTTCCTATCACTAGCTTACTTTACACCTCCAGTTGTATAGGCAAAGTACAACTTAGGGTTGATTCCCTCCTTTTCTCTTCCATCTGCTCAGTTCACCAGTCCAGAAACAAAGGCCTCCTAGAGGCCTTCAGTGGCAGAAGATAATTGTGATCCTTCAATTTAGAGAGCAAGCTCTAATGGTATGTGGAAATGACGTATTGGACTACCTTAGTTTAATGATACTTAAGATTTGTTGTTTATCCATCTGTATTTCAGTATCTGTGCCTGATTTTCTCTATAGCGCTTATTCCTAATATTGTTTTAAAATATGTAATAAGTATAATTTTTTAAAAATGTAATAATTATAATTTTAAAAAATATATATAATTGCCCAATTTGGACATCATAGTCAATGAAAGTAAAACAGCAAAATGTCTCGCTTCTAACTCTAAGCTGTATGGCAGTGTTGTCCAAACTTGGCCACTTTAAGA